GAACATCTAGCACTGTTAGTAATAGAAGTACATTTTGTATGTGTTACATGTAGTTATAGACAGGCAATTAGGTATTTTGTTTGTTGGGTTTGTTCCTGTGGGGTATAGGCCACAGACAAACTCTTTCCATCTCTCCTCATCTTTCTCCTCCCAATCCATGGAAGGTCAGCTGATTTCATATCCTTCCATCTTCCATCTTCCATCTTGATATAGGAAACGCCTGGAAAAGGCCAATTTTTTACATATTAAAAAAAGGTCAAGTTATTATATGATGCTGTAGAAGAGAGAAGAAAAAACATTATTTAAGCATTTTTAGTGAATAACATTCAAAATGTATTTCTCTTGTATTGATATCAATAGAAAAAAGAAAAAGCTAAGCATATTGCAGAAGAAAAAGAAAGGAAAAAACTGGAAAAAGCAGCATCTGCTGCAGAAGAAAAGCAGAGGAAGAAAATTGAAAAAGATGCATTAAAGAAAGCACAACAGCTTCAGGAAAAGGGTGACTCAAAGGAAGACAGTACGCCAATAAAACCTCAGTACACGGTACAGTTTGAAGTGATTTCATGTGGGTGCTGTAGCAGAGCCGTGTTCAATTACGCGTTGAAAATAATCCATGATTCCTTTAGTTTTGGTTAACTTCGCTCTCTGATTGGCCCAGAAAACTCGTGCCACATTTTCAGCTAATCAGACTCAAAACTAAAACCAATCCTGATGAGGACACTTATGTTTCCCGCGTTTCAGGCAACTTGCCTTTTTTACTTGGAGTTCTATTGGCTAATGATGATGTCATCCTTTGTTCCGATTGATTGTTGTGATTACTTTTGTTTTGATTTTTGAAATTGAAGTGAAAACTGCTCTACTCAGCAATTTGGATCTCCATAATGTTAAGTCCAACACGGCTTTTTTTAACTTACAGTAACCTTGACTTACAAGCTCCTTAAACTAAAATGTACTCATAACTGGATCTGGAAAAGTACAGCCTTTTGCTCTCTGTAAACTATACATCTACAGCTACTCTGCGTAATTAGAATGATTAAGTTGTAAAACTTACAAGGAAAACTTCAGTAGTTGGTGCAATCTAAGCCCGAAGGTTGAATGCCATAGCTCTCGCCTAGTGCTCTAGACTGCGAGACAGCAATTTCTGGGAATATGCATCTGTCCTTGAAGGACTAACGCGCGAAACGTCACCTTTAGAAACTCTTTACGATGGCCAATTTACGCTATCAGTTCAGTTAATAAAACCAAATAATCTTGCATTACACACCACCAACACAGTACTGTTTCTTGAGAAACGTACCTCCTTGAAAATAGCATAGCCATGTAAATCAAAGGCGCTTAAAGGGCCTGAGTTAGAGACTGTCGTCTGAATGGCATTACGTTTTATTTTCTTTTACTTATACATCGCCTTGATATTTTTCCTTTCAGGTTTCAACTCAAAAGTATGGTCATTTGCCTAGATTTCCAAGACTACAGTTGATTCATGAGCTATTGTGGCAGCTTGTGTATGGCGAAATTTCATCAAACACAATCGATGTGAATGAGCCTAAACCCAGTGGCACTCAAGAAGAAGCGTTATTTGAGAGTGATGATCCAACAGCAACAGAGAATAAGGATTATGAGTGGATTAAACACTTAAAACCAATGTGTAAAGTGTTTGATGAGGCAGGAGAGCCTCTAGAAGGCTGGTTTCGTTTGGCTGATGTTATGCCAGTGATGCCTTTAAACGTACTCTGCAAAACAATCGATATAACTGAGGAGGTATAATTGTTCTTTGCCAATATTCAAGGTTATCTTTTATAATTAACGATTTAATTTCTGAGTTATTTGCAAGAATAACTTAATCAAGCAATATCTCTTGTTATTGATTTATTCAAACTCCTTACAGCTCTGGATTATCTCTACTTCACTTGAACATTGAAGTCTAACGAGCGTTCTTCGAAGAGATTTATTGTTATGTCAAACGGCTGATTTTTTCATTTGGTTTTAGATTGAAGGTTTTGATGAATATGCATTTGATCCAGTGAAAAAGTATACGCTTTTTTGTGATCTTCCTCAGCAATTAAGAGTCAAACTCAAGGAAACTCGGTAAGAATCCAACTGTGCTTTCTGCTTTTATAAATCTTATAACATGGGGGGTGGGGGGGGGGGAGAAATTTATAAATGCTGATTGGCAGCGACAGAGGGCATTTTTCCTTAATTTTGTTAATTGCCTCAGGAAAAATTTCTTGAATTTTAAAACATCAAAAAAGATTTTTTAATCATAAGTTTGTTTCCAGAGAGAATTGGAGAGAACGAAGTCCTGTTACCAATTGATCAAAACTATTACAAAACTTGAGAAACTAGCCATTACGGCCATTCATGAATAACGTGCTGGGTTATCACCAGCCCGATTTCAACATCACAACTGTAACAGGGAAGCGTAGGTATCATGTGTGTAAATGGACCGCGTTTCATAATAAATCCCCCCTCTGGCTTGCTGGTATGTCGGCGCATAATGTCCGCGGCTGAGCGATTGTCCAAAAAATGAATATTTGGTCGAGAAGCGAAGCTTCGAGGGCAAATCTGAAATTTTGTTGCAGTTTTGATTGTGTGGAAAATCCCTCAAATTCTCTGCCAGGACCAAACGTAAACCGTCTTTTTATCACTGAGATTGAATCCAGTGCTGCTATTCAGAGAAATCTATTCAAAAAATCTCACACATTTATTGATTTGAGGCAGTAATTAGCTGTTTTTATGAAAGCATAGAGGAATGTATGTTTTTACAACAAATGAGCTGTTCATACATTGTTGAAATTTTGTAAGAGTAATTATAGTACACTGATGTTTGATTTGAATTTTAGGCGGTACCATCCAGCACCACTTGAACTACTCTTGTGCCTTTGCCAAATGGGTTTAGTCACGCCTGCTAAGCCATTTCCTCATAATTTTTACCATGTAAGTACCTTTGCTATTGCTTGTTGACATTTATTTTAAAAGTTTGTTTCTGGTAAGTTTGTAACTGTTGTCGTTGAATGATTTAAAGGTTGTGCAACTTTGCCAAGACCGGAAATGTTTGCCGATAAATTAACTTTTAGCTTTTGAAGATAAAGTAAGGTCACGTGGCGATCATTTGTAATTTTTCCAATTTTTTGGTCAGATGCTCTACCAAATTGGGCCATCTTCCAAGCACAGCTGTGAACCAATTTAACACAGTTGTTAGCTTTCAGGCTTCCGTTTGTAAGCATCACACCCAAATCGTTTGCTGTGGACTCTATATTGTTTTCTCTTGCTTTCCCATTCAGTAGTTTTCATGTACTGCAGCGATTTTTCTTCTGAAGCGCCATGTATCGGGATTATTTACTAAGTCCTACGATATATCGACGATATATCGTTCTAGCGATATATCGCAGGAAAGCTTCGATATCTCGTCATTTTATCGCTCGCTTATCACTTGGCGCGCGCGTGAGCAAAAATATTTTATAGATTATAATGAACGAAAATTGTTTGCGTCACTTTTGCACAGCACTGTATGTGATGACATTTCCTGGAAGTAGCTGTAATTCACATTGAATTGGCTTCTTCTTTAACTTGTATACCTCCAGATAAGAATATTCTTACATAAAGGCACAAGAATATTGGATACCACAACATCTATAACGAACTACAAGACTGCGCTTCCACCACAAGGCCAATCATTTGTGTCACGTTGTCACATGTTCTCGAACGCAGTGGCTGTCAAGAATTTCTGGACTGACTTGAAATGTGTATGTCTTAATACACCTTTAGGTAAGTTATTCATACTTCAAAGGAACTAAGTAGTTGTGATTGCCGACCCGGTCCTCTTGAAATTATCTTTTTGGCTTTCTGGATGCCTAGGTTAACGCTTTAAGTATATTTGCAATAGCACTCCCCCAGAAAGAACATAATTTTCCCGCCTTAATTCGTCTAGACGTAAACTTAACACCCCTGTGTCTTTATTTATTTATTTATATATTTAACTATTTATTTATTTATATATTTCTTTATTTATTTATTTATTTATTTATATATTTATTTCAACCCTTAACACCCCTGTGTCTTTAGATCTGTTTTATAGTCTCAGTACCTGTTTGATTTCCTCCACAAAACGTACTGTACAGTATCTGGTAGGGAGTTGAAAGGATAGGTGTTTCTCTCTCTTCATTCATTTTCTTCGTTTATTTGAAGACATTCCAAATTCTAATATGACTAGTGGACCAGAACTGCCACGCAGTAGACTGTCCATTGCTGAATTCCCATTTATTTCATTTATTATTTATTTACATGCTGAGTAATCGGCCAGGCAAGGATAAAAAATGTCAAGGACGATTTGTCATAATTATTCGCCCAAACTGAATTATGAAGTTCCCATACTCTGTAAAATGCCCGGGATACTCCTCGAGTTAGAACGGATGGAGGCTCTTACGTATAGAAGAGATAAGATATGTAAAGAGTATTTATGCAAAATGAAGGACTTAAACTATCTTCTGCATCCTCTTCTACCAACACGCCTAGATGATACCTGTCCCTACACCTTAAGGCACAAATCACACCAGCTGTACTTTTACAGAAACTTTACTACCTGAAGAACGAGGCGCACCGAAGACTTTCACTTTTAAGTATTTGAAACAAATGTGATGCATGTTCTGGTGTGGTGTACATAATTTGTACTTATGTATACAGAAATGTACATAGTCGATCTTATCAAGTTTTCATTGTATTATAACTCGTTAATTCAGTAAGCTACTGCAAGAGAGTTTAATAAACTGTTGTTGTTGTTATTATTATTAAAAACTAGATCATTGGATAAAGCAATTCAAGACTTTTTATTGGCTTAGCCATTATGGTATATCAGCCAATATACCATAATCTACAAATATGACAAGCGTACGTGTCAGCTTAAAATTAAGAGAGCTAAAAATTTAATAAAATTTAATAATTTAATTTAACGTTTTTAATAAAGCAATTATTTTACTCGCGCTTGTTGAATAGGAGATGATAGA